ATTGTTCTTATGTCAGTTCCTTTAAAACTTTGGATTGGATGCCATCCACATCTGATGATTTTGAGTTTTTTAGCTTTTCAATGTTCTTCATTATTATTTTGCATGTTATGGGTATATCCCTAAATTCATTCTCTCCTCCTCCTCCTCCTAAAAACATTTATGTAGGTGATGAGATGTCATCTAACCTTTCTAGTGTGAACACTCATGTAAAGTATTCACTTAAGAGTATTTGTTACCCTTTTATCATCCATTATTACTTGATTAGTCTCATCTATTAAGGGCGCTACTGAGTCCTTTGTTTTGGTTTTACCTCTTATACTGTATAGGCATAGAACGATTTTGGATCTTTCTTAATGTTTTGGGCAAGGTTTCTTTCGGAGTTTCTTTTGTCTGATCTGATTTTCTGGGTCGCTGAGCTTAGTGCCCTTTTGTATATCACAAAATCAATGATGTCCATCGTGGATTTATACGTTCTCCAGAGGTTCCTGTTGGTTACCAATGCTAGTTTTACGACCTGTGTCATCCATCTTGTTCCCTTTCTTGTCTTTCTTCTTTTTGGGACATATTTTGGAACAAGTTCCATAATGACCCTCTTGAAATTTTGCCATGATGTTTCCATGTCTTGTTCACCTATCAGCTCTCTCCAGGAGATGGTTTGCAGTTCCTCTCATTCCTTGATAAGTCTCCTCGATGGTAATCTAGAAATTCATCACCTTTGACCTTTATGTGGGTTTCTATATTTGTAGTCCATCTTAAAATATGCTGATCACATGAGGGGGTTAGCTTTTTCCCCACATGAATTTGATCAATCATGCCCTCTTCTGATATTAGCACAAGATCTAGTATGCTGTTACCACATGTGGACTCTACTACATGTTGTATGAGAAAGGAGTCCTGCACTAGGTCTAGAAATTGTTCATCTTCCACTTGTGATGCTAGATTGATCCAATCTATAGATAATGGAGGTTAAAGTCCCCCCATTATCAGATGATGCATCGATCGCATTATACAGATCTGCAATTTCCTCTGCCACTGCTGTATCAGCTCTGTAGCATACTCCCACTGCCATTTTGCTACCATCTTGAGTTAATATTTTGCACCATACAGACTCTAAGGAACCCATGGTGTTCAGTTCCTCATTGTTGGTTGCACCAGGTCCTCTTTCACATTCAGCATCATCCCGCCTGCTCTTGTTGTTCTGTCCTTTCTGAATGGTGGGTGGTATCCTGGGAGATAGAATTCACCTTCTAATATGTGCTCTCGGTACCATGTTTCATGATGCCAATGATGTCGGGATTTTCAGCCTTAGCATATGCACATGACGAGTCAAATTTATTTACTAGACTTCTGGCATTTGTGTAGAAACAATTTAAACTCCTATGTTGTTCCTGGGGGACTGAGAGATTGCTCCTGTATTTAGCACATAACTATTCTGTACATTGTTGTTCTGGTTCTGAACCTGCTTGTCATCCAAGATATATAGACTTAGTTCTGCCTGACTAGGTAAAGGATTTTGACTTCTCCCCCCCATCTGCAATCTGGATAACCTGCCCTCTCCTGATTTTTAGCTGCACATTTTGTGGCGTTCTGTGTTTCTTAACTCCTTCAGTTTGCCTCTTAGCACCCTGTCACTTTTTTGCTGCTCAATAGTAAGGTTTGGAGATATGTACACTTGGCAAAACCTCTCGAGATCTTTGAGTTTGTGGGCTGGTTTAGTAACTTCCATCTGTGTTCAAAATTTGCAATGGTTATTTATTCCTACCAAATTTGCTTCCGGCCTACCCAACCTCCTACCATCTGATATACTTAAGTCTTCCTCCTTGCCAATTACTTTCTCTAACATTGCTTCAATGAGTTCCTTGTCATTCTTGTCCTCTTCTTTTGCAAGGTTTTTGATAATGAGGTTGTTTTTTCATTTATGCCTATCCATGGTTTCTGCATCCCTCTCTTGAGCACCTGCGGGGGAGCCTGCCCATACATGTATTATCTAATGTTTTTTAAGGTCTATAACTTCTTTCATTAACACTTGTTCCTCCTGCAACTTCTTCATTGCCTTCTGGCCTTCAGTCAGTTCGTTTAGTATTGTGTCTCTATGCTCATTTATTACTTCCACAAATATCTCATGTAAAGATCTATCATTTATATCCTCACTTGACTCCTCCCTAGTCCAAACCTCTTCCATTATTTCATCCTTATTCTCGACATCCGAGATATTAAGATAGGTACCATGGTATACCAATTGCAACCTGCACATTCGATATCCTGTTTTGTCCTGGGCCCTACGGAACAGTGACACATGCCACATTTTTGGTTAGCAAATTTTTCAACAGTTTCATGTGGAAGTATTTGCAGTTTTCTGTATTTACACATTCCTATATTTAGGGTATTTCTGCAGTTTCTTGGTTGGTTGTATTTGCATGTTCCTGACAGCCCATATTTACATACACCTCATGCATAATATCTGCAAGTTCCACATTCATGCTTTGTTTGCCATGGTTTATCTCCACTACATTCTATGTTGGCTCTTTGCTGATAGATGTAGGAGGAGATCCTGCAGATTTCTGTTGATGCTCACTAACTTCCTTTTGTGTTGCGTCATCTTGTACATAGATACGATATATTGGGATTGTCTCAAAAGCTCTCCAAATGTACTCACTAAAAAAGGAGACGAGAGAGATATCAAATAATATACATGTGGAAAATACTTGAGGGCCAGGTCCTAAATCTACACAGTAAAATAACAACATACTGGAGTGAACGATATGGAAAAAATGCAGAATAGAACCAGTGAAGAGCAGGGGTGCCATAGGCACAATCAGAGAACACTATAAACATCAGAGGTCAGTGGTTGTTGTTCAACATCCTCCCATCGAGCATAAGAAATTTTGCCAGAACAATCATGGACATCTTAAAAAAAATAGATAGTTTTCTTCAATTAAAAAAAATAGATAGTTTTCTTCAAGAAGTGCCAGACCAACTGGGCTGTGGTGGGTATGTGGGCCTGCAGGCCACTCCAAGCAACAGCCTGTTGGACCAAACTCTCACAAGTCAAGCCTGGTCCCGGGCCGGGCTTGGGGGAGTAGAACTCCCAGAACCCAATCAAGCAGGATTGTATAGTATGTATTGTATGCTGGGGCATACAGTATGCAATGTATGCAGGTGTTTATTGTATGTATTGTATGCTGGGGCATACAGTATTTAATATATGCAGGAGTTTATAGTATGTATTGTATACTAGGGCATACAGTATGTAATGTATGCTGGAGTAAAGAATGTACAATATGCTGGGGTGTAAACTATTATATTAAGCTGATCAAATGAGACTGTACAGTAGTGCACTGATTTTTTGCTTCCTAGAATGTGTGGTAAGGTGGTCAAATAGTAATTCCATACTGCACAGTATTTCAGAAATTACCACAATATCTTTATAGAAGTAAAATGATTCCGAAGGAGAAATTTTTCATGGTGTGAAAAGCTTTCAAGGAAATGAAACTGAGAATGTAAGGGGAGAATTAAAACACCTCCTCTGTACTTTGAACATCCATTATGTATACAGATAATTTGCATTTCAACCTTTTAAAATTTTACTTGAGCTATTTATTAATATAAACTTAATGCCAGCAGAGTATAAGGATGTAACCTTATATCAATTTCCTATAGGGTTGTGTATCATGTCTCTCAATTGCAATAATACCGGTCAACATTCTTATTAAGACATGTAAACTAATAAGAATGTTTATGGTAACTTGTCTAGTAAAATCTTTCTACAAAAAAAAATACTTCATCAGTCTAACTGTGAATACAGTATAATGGCTTACGACAATTTATTGCATGAAAAGTGTTACTACTTAAGATATTCGGAAAGTGAGTAATGTTATTTTGTTTTAAGAATTTGTATTATTTAATTCAGAGTACAGTATTGTATTTAAATAATCATTACAATACAGTGTATCAAATTCCAAAAAATTCTAATTTTTACTTACTAACATATAGATTAATAAATGCAGATGAAAGAGATTTCAGTACTGTAATACTGTATGTTTTTAACCCATATTCAAGTTTTAGTCCTGACCAAACATTTACTAGTCAATTCATAAATAATCCTGATAATGCTGAGTATAAATATGAAGTTTTGGGTGATAATAATTCAGATCCTTTTAATTCAAAGATTAATTAACCATCATGCAAAATTGCCCATTTGCACTCTAAATATATAATAAGAATGGGCTGAATATTTCCTGTTAATTCAATATTTTTAGGCTTACACATTCGCTGTCTCATTTTTAATAATCAAAGAACTGTATTGGTGCCATGAAAAAAAAAAAAAAAAAAAATCAAGAATTACATAAATATTTCAAGAATTAATGCTTTAAGGAGCAGCTTTCCAAACTATACTCAGAAATAAACATTATCTTTAGTGCAGTATATTTTCTGAATGATAATATGACTGGAAATACAGATTAAACGATTTCAACTTCAGTATTAATATTTTACATTACATTAATAATAGATTCAAATGTTTACTGACAACTTTAGAAGATTCTTGGAAGCAATTAAGGCAATTCTTATTAACACGCTAAAAGTTCGCCTAAAATATTATTATTTTATATATTTTTCCGAGTGCATGTTCAATTTTCTCACGTTTACCTTTAAAAAGAGATTACTGATTCTAATTTGGATTCTGTCAAGGAACCTTCAGCTGTGTTTCGATAAAATAAATGTTTATGCGGTGGCAACAAAATAACATTATCAGAATAATTAAAAAGTGTGATAGAAATTTTGACCACCATGCATAATGAATTATAATTATATGACTGAAAACCTATCCTGTAAATATGTGCCACGTGATCAGGATTATAAATTTAGAAAGGGAGAAAATATTAAAGAGATTTGCTTACATAAGAATTTTAACTATGGTAATAATGATAAATAAATTTAATTAGGTTCTGAATAATCCTTTTTTTATTCATTATGGAGAAGGAGCATAAGGAGGCGCCTACCTTCAACATCCCTGGCGATCACTGTGGTACTTCTATCAACTTGAGACTTGGACTTGTCTGTTTACGCCGTTCAGGAAGAGCAGCACCATACGCGGGGTGAAGCAACGTCCACGGCAAATTAGGAGAAGAGGGGACGGACAAAAAGAAAAGAAAAAACCACCATTCACAATGTAGCATTTGTACACAATTTGTGGATGCTACTACTGTGTCAAGTGGAAGGTAACATTACATCAAGTATAATGTCAACAGATGACATACCTTGTACACAGATGGATTACCATGTACTTTACACGCTGATGGGTGTCTCATCTTGCTTGAGAAGAGTCACAATCTCTAGAAAGAGTCTACATCAATTGCAGCAAAGCACATTTTCATGTACTAACGTTCTAAAGGGGGCTTAATCTCAAAAGTACCTTTGCCAATAGCTTCAGTTCTTCCAGACTCTCAATAAATATGATCTAATTTCACTGTAACTTCTAAGAGAATATGCTCTCTACATTGGTATAGCTTTAGGAAAAATTTCTGAGTACCTTATTGTAGAGAAAATGTATTCTGGAAAAATAAATCTTCTTTTGAATTATTTTTCACAAAGGTGTCAATATATCTCAGGTAACATAACGTTCTCAGAGAACACATGTTGCTTCCCTGCAGATCACAGTAGGACACCACCAGGATTCCAAGACAAAATCATATACTGTATTATATGTTAGTATCCTTGCACACCCTAATGAATGAGTCAAAAAGTAACTTCGGCAGGGTCACCCATTCAAGTGGTTGCCTGCATCATCCTTGGCCCCCCTCCAGTGCCACTTTTACTGATAAATCACATTCCTTCATAATGCAGATATGATGTTGATAATATGTATGTACATATATATTATATATATATATATATATATATTATATATATATATATATATATATATATATATATATATATATATATATATATATATATATATATATATATATATATATATATATATATATATATATATATGCGAACAAGCCTGAATGGTTCCCAGGCGTATATGTAACTGAAAACTCCACACCCCAGAAACGACTCGAACCCATACTGCCAGGAGCACTATGCAACTGGTGTACAGGATGATGGTAGTATGGGTTCAAGTCATGGGTTCGAGTATATATATATATATATATACACTATATATCCTTTTGTGTAATGAAATTTTAAATAAAATAAACTGACAAAATATACATATATATAAATATACAAAACTAATAGGGGTGGTAGGATAAGAAAATATTAAAGTGTTCAGTGAGAATCCTCAAAGTCTTCTCTGAATACTCTTTATTTTCTTCTCCGAGGCTATGGGTCCCTACAATTGCACCAGAGGTGGTACCCTCACAACTTTATATATATACATATATATATATATATATATATATATATATATATATATATATATATATATATATATATATATATATATATATATATATATATATATATATATATATATATATATAAAATGAAAGCCTAAGTGTCAATAAAAATGAATGAAAATGGTAATAATATGAATAATATACGAATTGATATGAACATTATGATGCAAAAATAAAAAGAAAGAATTGTGATAAGCATTTAGCTTGTGGTACAAAGAGTCTCATACTCAATAGAAATTTCAGGAAAAAACATAATTTTTCAGTCATTAAAAGTGCAGCAATAATAGTAGGATGCTTCATACTGGCAGCTTAAACAAGCATGAATCAAGTGCTAAAAAGGAAACATCTGAAATTGTGACTTTTTTAAGTAAATGCATTATGAAAAGTAAGCTTCAAAAGCTTTCTGCGTGCATAGCTTGGCTCGGAGACTTGATGCCACGTCCTTCACTGTTAATGTTATATACTTTACATGTGATTCTAATAACGTCAGAAATTTCTGATACTATTAATAGATCATCCTTTATACATACAATGTTACAGCCCTCCCACAATCCTATTATGCATTTACTTTTTACTATACATATCAGTCTGTGTATCAACTCTATGAAAAGTCTGATATAAAATAAGAAAATCTTTAACAGCTTATTATGCTGAGCAGGAAACTGTGGTTCATCACTATATTCTTGCAAATCAGTGCATCTGTCAGCTGTAGTGCTTCATTACACATCAGACTAAGCATATGCTCCATATGTGCAATGTATCTCAAGTCCATGAGACATCAAATCTGCAAGCTTATCACATCTGATTAGTCTCTGAGAAGTGTGAGTCAGCTGGAATAAGTGCCTTGGTAACCATGGGGGGTGTGGTGGAGCACAGCATCACTGATAGTGATGGTGGTGGTATTGAGGACTGTGATGGTGGAGGAAACTGTGATATTTGATATGATACCCATAGTGCTGTTGGCAGTGAGTTGGTTGTGGTTGCTGGTAGTGGTGATGTTGATTTGAGTGGTGGCACTGGTAGTAGCAGAGCCAGGAATTCGATGGAAGATGGGTAGACTAGCTAGTCGGGGTAGTGAGGGGACTCTGCGACCCATTAACCCACAGAGTCCTGCACCGGCAGTTAGCCTTCCACCACCCACATCACCACCATCACCACTAACAGTGTTGCTGCTCATCTCGTTGCTGAAGATGCTGGAACCTTCTGGAACACCACCACATTCTTCACCAGCCATTCTCTGCAACTGAGTTTCTTGTCCACTGTTTTTGTCATGTGTATTACCAGGAGTTGGATGAGTCCAGACAGCAGCACTACTTAAGGTCATGCACTTAAAAGTGAATGTAGGGCAATATCATGATTCAATATGTCTTTCTTCCTAGTTTTATGAACAATTGCATTTGTATTAAGAACTTTTTTATTGGAGTTTAGATTTTTAATTATGCATGGAAGATCACGGCATTGAGAATGCTCATGTTTAAAAAAAAAAGCAAGAGAAAATTCCCATTTGCATCTCTTTACCAGGCAAATTGGTATTTTTTTTTTTAACTAAGACAAGTATTTTCTTGTACACACAAGAAATCTCTGACTGTCATATGCCAGTGCACGAAACTTGTAACTTTCACTTCCCTGATGACCGACGATTTGTCAAGTAATCTAATATGACTCAAATGCCAACGTCAATTAAATAAAAAAAATCTTGAGAATTCATGAATTAGAGAATAACTATAGCATTCCAAATCTCTAAAGTGCTGTGTTGCTTTGTGCAAAGGAACTAAATACCATATCATTCTCTATATTAAACTAAGTTCTGATACAGTGGATGAATGCAATCATGGAACAAATGTATTAATTATGTACAAAGGGAACATGTTATGTTACGAGGATTGCAAGGGAGCATATATGAGAGAGCACAACAGGTTACTGCCCAGGGGCCTACAACTGCAGTACAAGATGGAGCACATGAATCATCGCAAGGTAACACTGATCAAAATATGTTAGTCATTCAAAAGTTGGTATCCCCAATATTCGGTCTAATTACTCTTCAAACCATTTTTAATTTCATCAGTTCTAACATTAGTATAACCTTTCACACTAACTATATCAAGATAAAATGTTCAGTAGACAACCTGTCTTACAACATAGACAACAGCACTTTTAAAATGGCTTCAAATCTTGAGAAACTATTTACACTGCACTACATGTAAATGAATATGAATGTTAGTAAGGTTACAATATCAAGGGTGTGTATGTGTAATAAATTTACTTTAGATTAAACAAAAAAAATACTAACTACATTACCTTCAACAAGAAACTTCTCTTCCAGTTACACTATTCATGAATCAACTTTAAATGCAATAACAACATTTTATTAACCAACTTGTACTTTGCTTAAACAGTTTTCTAGCATACCATGCATAGCTGTTTCATAAAAACAAATTATTATTTAAAGAAATATTAAGGCTTGTTCACATCACTTTGGAATGTTTCTTAAAAGCAGATTTAAGGTCAATAAAGGTACCACTCACACCTTTATCTTAGTAATTCCTATTAAAAATAATGTATTATGTCAAATATTACCTTTTAAGAAATACAATTAACAACAAATACACAAAACACAATACATTTTATCTTGTGTTTATCACTTAAATTTACATTCTATTTAGCTCAACAAGTGATCATATTTAAGAGAAAAGTAAAGTACATGCCACATCAAACTATGAAGCAGTAAACATCAGATACAGCACATACTGCTTGTATTGGCTCACCATACAAACACTTTATTAGAAAGTCTTCCACACATATTTAAGTTCTCTCATACATTTCCAAATCTCTATGTTAATACTGTATCTACTTAACTACTTTCCACAACTCAATTCACCAATACAAATGAGCCCATTTAGCAATTGTTCTACATTCATGATTATTAAATTTGTTTAAACACATCTCTACTTGGCATATTCGGCTAGTATCATGATGTCACACTAGCAATGAAGTGTTTCCCTGCACTTTATGTTTCACATCAATGTCTAACCTATAGAGTGCTCCCTAATACACTTTTCCCCATTTAAAAACTCACAATGCTTAATTTTCACTTAATATAACTATCATTTACACTTATAATAACTCATTTACTTAGAATGACTATTACACATACAATCATGAGTAAATAACAGTCATAGTGAGTGCATTACCTGTAGCTAGTTTATGAGAGTAGAGAACTCGCAAAATAATATATAAGTAAAAAACTCACTTTGACTTCTTTTGAGATGGAAGAGAGAAGATGAGAGGGGAGAATGTGAGAAAGAGAGGGAAAATGTCAGGATAAGAGAGGGAGGGGGGAAGGATGGGGAACTATCAGAAGAAAGCACCAAGCTATTACTACAGCACTTGGAAGGGATCAAGATAAAGACATGGGATGGACGGAGGGATGGAATGGTGCCCAACCACTTGGACAGTCGGGGATTGATAGCCGACCTGCATGAAATCAGACTGACGCTCTACCATCCAGCTCAAGTGGTTGGGCGATGGTATGGAGAGAGAAAATATGAGATGTGGAGGGGGAAAGGATGGGATTGGGAAGGGTGAGGAGGGAAAAGAAGGCCGGGAAGTGGAGTGTGAGGATGGGGAAGCAAGAATAAAGGAGGGGGGGATGTTAAGAATGGGAGGGGAGGCTACGGGGCAGGTTATAAGTGTATTTAATACTTTAGATACAGAAAAGACTACAGTGAAATAGTTACCACTTAATGTCCTATAATTGAAGCAGTTACCACTTACACCCCCTATCAATGAAGCAGTTATCACTTACACTCTTATCAATGAAGCAGTTATCACATACCTCTATCAATGAAACATCTGCCACTTGCTATCTTCTTCATGAAGCACTTACCACTTACTATACTATCAGTGAAGCAGTTACCACTTACTATACTATCAGTGAAGCAGTTACCACTTACTATACTATCAGTGAAGAAGTTACCACTTACTATACTATCAGTGAAGCCGTTACCACTTACTATACTATCAGTGAAGCCGTTACCACTTACTATACTATCAGTGAAGCAGTTACCACTTACTATACTATCAGTGAAGCCGTTACCACTTACTATACTATCAGTGAAGCAGTTACCACTTACTATACTATCAGTGAAGCAGTTACCACTTACTATACTATCAGTGAAGCCGTTACCACTTACTATACTATCAGTGAAGCAGTTACCACTTACTATACTATCAGTGAAGCCGTTACCACTTACTATACTATCAGTGAAGCAGTTACCACTTACTATACTATCAGTGAAGCAGTTACCACTTACTATACTATCAGTGAAGCAGTTACCACTTACTATACTATCAGTGAAGCAGTTACCACTTACTATACTATCAGTGAAGCAGTTACCACTTACTATACTATCAGTGAAGCAGTTGCCACTTACTATACTATCAGTGAAGCAGTTACCACTTACTATACTATCAGTGA